AGTATTGAATCCCTGGATGTGGTTAAGTTATTTGCAGGGTTTTTTAAACAAAACCATTCTCTAAAAAATACTTCACCAAATTATTTTTATAAAATCCTCCAACCTTGTTTCAAAAATTGCTACACCCAAACTGGCCGAACTTAACATACTAGAATCACTAAAGAAATTGTGTAAAGGCATTATGTGAGCGTTTAACGAATTTACGGAATATTTCACTGAAGAATGGATATTTTTGTGTGAAGGAAAAGCTTTACATTGCATTGTTGAAAAGTTGTAGTCGCCAAAACATTGCGAAAGAATTGCTAAGGTTAGTCCTATTTGTAAACTATTTGAAAAGGTGATAACTGCACCGTTTACTAGGCCTATTACTTCGACTGTTAGTCCATTCAAATATGACTGCATTAGAAGGTGTTCTACTGCCTCTATTTCTCTCTTCAATAATTTTAAAAAAGGCCTGCAAAGTGACGTAATTTACATCTTTTACAGTAAAGCACTTAGTTTTCAAATTAACTAAGACCGGATTTCCCACAGTCTTAACTTGACAGATTTCTTTGTTTACTTCGGATCTCTACACAGCCACATTGACCTTCTTTTATTCGTGCTCTATATAAATGATCTTTCAAAATATTGAAGTGGGCCAAAGATATTGATAATCCATGTATATGGAAGCAGCTTTACTGTAGTCACTTAGGGCTTGGTTGGAATACATTGTGGATCTTCCTTCCTTAGGTAATTACTTCATAAACCTGCTTAGTCTAAAAATCAGAAGATATCTACTAGAAATTACATTCGCAAGTAGAGCGAGAGGCTTAATAAAAAGTTAATACTCATGTTCCGTCCCGTTTGACACGCAATTATGTAATATATAATAGTATTCTGTCACTACGTAATTACGAGTAATTACGAGTTATTTAGACCTTTCCGATGTGTCTGTAAAGATTATAATGAGTACTCCTCGCTTTTCTGTTTTTCTGATTTCATTCAATTTATCAAAAGAGCTATTATCCAATTTAATCAGTCATCTTATAAAAAAGAAATTTTCATAGACGTTCGCTCTCCGGCGACCCAGATGATTATTCCAAAAAAAAAAATTGTATTTTTATAACTGTTTACGGACATCTGAGAAATTCAAGCCTATTGTTAACTATTGCACTTTGAAGAATTCCAGAAAAATGTTTCGTTCGTGTATATAAGCACTCCATGTCAAGCCAACGAAAAGAAAGAAGTGAATTATAAGGACAAAAAAGAAAAAAAATTCAAAAGAATCCACTACTCTAAGTTTATCTACAAATTTGAGCAATTTAATAAAAGTTCTCCGTTACGTTGTCACTGTAACAAGAGAGCAAAAGAACAAGAGAAAGCAAAATCAAACTGGAAGCACGAAAAAGAGAGAATACAAATTAGAAAAATGTTCTCTTAAATTTTCTTTTAAATTACACCTAAGATCTACACTACTGAAGCAACGGTAAACAAGCCAAAAGAAAAGCTATTCACCCCAAAGGAAGAAAATAAAAAAAGAAAAAAACTTAAAAGAAAAAAACTAGAAAAGACTCGAAAGAGATTTACTATTGCGATCACAAGTGCTAACCGCAAGAACCAAAATGAAAATCACAAAAATTTTTACACTTTACGCGTTCAAACCTTTTATACTTTTACATAAATCCCGTTTTAAACGCGTATAAAACGGAAACAAAAAAAATTTTAGCAATAAAACTAACAAAAGCGTACGATCTCGCTCGCGTCAATTGGCAGACTGCCAAGGTATGCATGGTATAAATTGTTACCAAGCTCTGTGATTGGGAGTGAGGCATTGCACCTTGACTGGGCAGCGTACTCACATTGAGTCAAACCGTATGACCTTGTGATCGCATTAAAGTTTCTCAATAGTGTACAAATTTATGCAATTTGAGAATACCTTTTCTCATATTTGCAAGAGTTAGAACCGTTGTTCAGCGCGACTTTACCTTATTAATTATATTTCATTAAAATATGAAGTCTTTGGTTTCTTTTTCCTTTGTGTTCGATTTATTTGATTTTTTTTTTGCGATGAAGGACGTTGCATATATACCAGTCAATCAGATACCCTCATAATACAATCAATAAACAGGAAAAGGTGTTTGAAAGTACGCCAAAGACATAACTATGCAATTTTTCTTTATCGATCGGCCGTGTAATTTGCAAAACGGAAATTTTATATACTTATGCTAAAGTGATCAGAAACGATTAGAGGTAGAAAGATATCGACATCAAGAAATCGTCTTCAATGGCAGTTTTTAAAATAACAAACCAAAGAAAAAAGAAATAAACAATCTGAAATGCATTTTTTCTTTCTTACGCCTCGAAAGGAATACAAGTGCAGCAATCTAGAAAAAAAAACTCCATATGAGGGAGAGAGGGAAGAAGAACATCACACCGAACAAGAAGTTGTCGAGAAGAGGAACTAATTAAACGAAAACTTAAAAGAATAAAAAAAAAAAATGATGTATATTATTTTATTTATAGGCTTAAGAAATAGAAAAAATACGTAAATAATAATAAGAAAAAAAAAAATTGATGTCCATAATGACATTTACGAAGTACAAGAATAGGAGGTTTTACGGGGAATCAGGTAAATGAGTGTGTGTGTGTCTATAGATGTAACGACGAACGGTTGCTTACCGGATCGACAAATACATAGACACAGACTAATAGACAGGAGAACAATACCGACGGACCGTAGGACTGTCACCCCACTAGTGATCCCGATAGGTTGACATTAGTTATAATTTACTTTTGTAAATGTGGCTGGGATAGCCAGGCAGCACAAAATACAGCCACAGTTATATTTAACTACATTACAACTTTGGATGAAATGTTGTTTTCGACCAGCCACGACCTGCTACGTTTCAAATTTTTATGTTCTGAGCATTTACCTTTGCAACAGATATGATAACCAAAACAATGCAATAAATGCAAATCAAAAAAAAAAAAAAAAAAAAAAAAAAAAAAAAAAAAAAAAAAACAAGTAGAAACGAATAAACTATGAACCATTATTCTAAAATCTCTCAACAAGCACGTTGACCATTCACTTAGCGAAGCAAGTCGCAACGAAAAAAGTTTGGATACAATTGATTTTCAGTTTCGATTAGATTAACATATGTTTTCTCTTGGTAATCATCAATAAAATTTCATCAGAACTATATTTCTCATCGGCATCCGCAGTAAACCATGTTATCTTCCGTTGCTGGTTCCTTAAATGTGGTCAACTGCATTGTTAATGTCCACCTGTGTAAGCGGTCTGAGGCCGAAAAACAGATTAATGGCTTATGATCAATCCTCAATATAAAATGATTACCTAATATATATTATTTAACTCTTTTAACAGAGAAGACAATGCTTCTCTTTCGAGAATACTAAAACTATTTCACTTTTGGTTAAGTCTCTAGATATGCAACGTATGAGTTGACGATCATCATCAACTTTGTAAGATAGAATTCCTGCCTCTGCATTGTTTAATGCATCAGTTGTCAATATTATGGACTATAATAGATTTTAAAATTGGTTGTATCATAAACTCCTTGAAAATGTTTATTCCAACGAAATCGTACGTTATTCTGTATTAATTTGTAGAGTGGACATATTTTCTGAGTAAAATTTTGTATAAATTTGGAATAATAGTTGCCCAACCCGATAAAAGTCTTTAAAATATTTTTCAGAATAGGTGCATTCGTCACTCTTGAAATGTGACCATTAAATTTTTTTATCCAGTGCCGTTAATGGTAAATCCTAGATTGAAGAAATGAGTTTTTTTTATTTATTTTATTTATTTATATATTATATTATTTATATCACAAGTCTGCATTATTTATTTGTATTATTTATACCACATTTGCAATCTACTACATAAATTTACTTATTAATTTCAGATCTGCCAACGTTCTGCAAGCCTGTCAACTTTTTTACATTCTCAAAATATCGTAACACAAATCTTAGAGCTATTATTATTTCCCCATGTGAATAGATTTTTTAAAGTTAGTTTATAGTTTTTGAGACATTTGCAAAGGTTTCCGAGACCATATGCCATGGTACGTACTCTTATAAATATATCTAGACAATCACCTGGTATTTTCTTGTTGTCTTTATAGTCGATATATTTCTTCATTTTCTCAAAATGCTTTAGAGACATTGTTTTAGCAATAATAGGAAGTCGAAGTGGGGCACCTAAGGAACAATATACTTTATACTATGAATATTTCGTTTTTTCGTTGTAATATCAAGCGCACATAATTTTTTTATTTCGAATATATTTATGGTGAATGAATTCTTTCCGCAATAAATGGCGTGTTGAATTCCTTCCTTGTATTATATGCTTAAAAACATCGTTGACAAAAATTTACAGATATATAAACTAAATGACGCTCGAAGGTAGAAGTTAACTCTTACTTGCTTTTCCATTAATTTCTTTGTACCTCTTTTTCGGATAAATAAATCCAAAATGGTAAACACCACGGCCGCGTTCGCCAGCATTGTCATATTGTGTGCAAAAAAAAGAAAATAAGGAATTCGATGCAAACAAATACATATGACAAAAGAAGCAAAAAGAAAAAAATCAATATAAGTGTAAACAGCACATATTTGAAAAACATCTATTAAAAATTCATGTAAATTATATTTTTGGTTTATGATGCCTGGTTCTGATATCTTATTTTATTAAACCAAGTAGAACTGTTTTAGTCAGACAAGACTAAGGCAACTAATATGTTACATATCATAAAAAAAAACGTATGAAAAATAAAAAGTGTTAATAAAGAAAAATATTATGGATTATTTTTCGATTTTGATATTTAAAAAATTGTTCTTCACTACTTAGACCTTTCGGCTCTACAAATGATCAATTGCCGTAAAGCCGAGATCCGAGATCAAATTTGGTATAATTGATTTTTTTATATTAAATTACTATTATGATATAAATTGCAATTTTTTTCCGTACAACGACTTTTCAGAATTTGTTGTTATAAGTAAAGTGGTCGAAAAAGTGGACCGATCAAAACCATTTTCAAAGGCATTCGTCCGTGTGTCAACACTTGTCACTGTTACAAACTTCATCAAAATATCCCAAAAATCGCGATCTTTAGCTTCAAAATAATTTACATGGACAGACATCAGATGGACAAGTAAACAGGCAGGCTTAGACCAATTCATATTAAGATCCTGAATAAATCGGTATAAAAAAAGGTCGGTATGTCTTGAGCCTTACTGGGTGTTACATATATCCGCTTAGTTTAATATACCCTGTACCACAAGCGGTGTAGATTACAAAAATACGTGGCTGACGCAATAAGAAGTTTTCGGGCTGGGACTTTAACTTCCCCGACTTTTTACAAGTGTTTATGGGAATTGATAAATCATATGGTTTTGCATGTATATAATAAAAAAAAACGCATGAGAAGGTTGGAAGGAATTGTTTCTTTTAAATTTGAAAGTTATTTACCTAACTTGTGTTTATCTTAAACTAATATACATTTTTTTTTTTTTTTTTACATTGTGTGATTGGCAGTTTTGGTTTATACCATGTATTATATTGTCAGAAATAAAAAATAACCATTGAAGATCATTTATTTTGAATTGGAAGTATTTTGATAAAATTGTTTTATTAAAGAGTCCTAAATAATAATTTTCAAACTATGGTGCAAGTAGTACAAATTAGGCTTCCAATGGTATTAAATGATAAAATATAAGCAGATTATAGAGATTAACATAATTGTCTCTTGAATTCAGGCTAATTAATAAAATTAAAGATTAAGAATTCTGTAAAACAAATTCTGGGTTTCCAAAGTTCAGGTAATAAACAAAATTAATGCAATTATTTATATTAAACGAGGGAAGTGGTCCGTTTAATAAATCTAAACTACACAAATAAATTGATCGGAAAATGTTTGAAAAAAACTCATTGATGAGGTCACAAAACAACACTGCTCACATGATAAACGCTCTCGAGCATATAGGAACAAATGCTCCAAACAGGGAATATGGGATGCAATCTCAAAAACCTTTTGAGTAAAGGATATGTTTGATAAAAACCTTCATACTAAACGCATACTTCACTCAAGATACATTTTAGTTAAACATTGTTAAGCCCAATTGTGGGATTGATTGAGTACTACCATCATGCGCTAAATATCAAAGAAATCGCAATTCATTTCGAATTGAATTTTTTAGATGCTTATCTTCGAGAAATTCACATAAAAAGTACTAATAATAATTTCAATAGAAACTTCGAATAACTTCGGTTACATCTACTAATCCATAGTTAGGTCTACCAGTACTTCACTTTATTTTAAACCTTTTAATCCCAAAATTTTTGCTCTCGTTCATCTCTTTTTAAGTGTTCTTCCTGATATTTTCGCTCACGTTCTCATTCTTGCTAATGCAGCCTATTTTTTATGCTACATCTGGTATGTGTGCTCGTCTCTGACATGGTGTTGAGGCTCTCTTGAATGTTGTGACTCGCCCCTGGCATAATGTTGAGCTTCTCCCGTATATTGTCACCTGTCTCTGACATAATGTTACAATCTTTTTGTGTTGTGTCTGTTGTAATTTGTTTGTTTCCCTTAAAATGCGCTATATAATATAAAATAAGTACTCATTAAAAATAGTAATAAAATTTAAGTGACGTTTACCTATAATGGTCCCCCATGCCTATAGATGATTCACTAAGCAACTCACCGACAGCAATTGCATGAAATGTCGCTAAAGCGCTTGCTTTAAATCTTGCCAATTTCTTAGCATGGCTCCAACGCTTGTCACTAATGCTATTGACCGCCACTTTATTCTTGCGTACCCTCAGTTGATTTTTGCAATGATTTAATGACTGAACATAAAATTAAGATGTGATAATTAACTTCGACTTTTGCATACCAATGCGAGCTTCCCGGGATCTTGCCACGATTCAACTATATGAATTACCTCGAGTGTTCGCAACCATTTAATGCAAACACATAATATGCGTAGTTCCAAATGACTGTTAAGAGACACGAAGTATCTGTTAGAGTCGCAGCTAATGTCATGCGCAGCCAAGCCAACTAATGTGAGGGAAGAGAAATTTAATAAAATCCAAGAAAAAGCTCGAAATACAATGGGAAGGGGTTCAACCTTCTCAGATCAAGAATTAACAATCAAACCGATTTCCGAAAAGAAGCAAAAGGAATTACAACGAACTATATAGAGATGTAATGCACATAAAATTAAATGTTTACTTCATAATAAAAATGCTTTAACAACTTCGTTTAAAAATATAAACATATTTCAATATTTCAATTTAAAAAAAATACAAATATAAAATATATTTTTTTAAATATAATGGGTTCACTTTAAAAAAACTTAAGCAGTAAAATAAAATTTCAAAACACCTTAGTTGATATCTATAAAGATTTAACGACTGAAAATAAAATGAACATTATTTTAAATAAAGATTTCTCATATATTCGCTTATACACACTTCGTTCCATTTCTACACACATTCGTACCGATTAACATTCCATTTACATTTAAATTTATGTGGATTTGCCGGCCCTGTTTTATTATTCTTAACATATGAGTGTTTTTCGACAATGTCAAATAGGAATTTATTTGCTGCTAGGTGCAAGTTTGGTAACCTCCTTTGCGATCTATACCTACTTAAATTAGCATATTAGTTGTTATATAAAATTATGGATTAATAATTTACCTTCAACGTTTTAACTTTTGTAAATACTTTTTTCCTTTTTAAAGCTTTATATTTTCTTCCTTTTTTGTTTGGACAGTTAAACTTATAATTTTCGTACTCTAGCAATTCTGCTTTAACAAAATCGTTATTGGAGAGCTTTGGTGTCATTTTTAGTTTAGATGGGTAATCACGGATCTAAAAGCTAACTTTTGTTAGCGACCAACCCGATAGCTTATAATCGATTTTGTTCCAATCGCGTAAAACTTTTGTCTCATTTTTATTGCTATTATTAATATAAAAATGAACAAGCAGGAAAAAAAGAGAAATTTATATTTGCTAATGTCTAGTTGTTGCCGTCAAAATTCGAAAAATAACAGCTGGCTCTCTACAAACAAACAGTCTCTATAAATAAGCAAACCAGCTATTAATATATGTGTACTGTTTATATTGTTAATATTCGCATATATTTATATAAATTAAAAACATAAATGAATGAAATGGAAATAATAAAAAATTTATAGTCAAAGTGTTGTATGTAACCTCTCTTCCTCTCTAACATGGTTTTCGAAAGAGAAGATCTACGGTTACCAATCTGTTAGAGTTTACTTCTCATGTTTTCACGGCTTTCTCTAGTGGCTCCCGCACTGATGTCATATACACTGACTTTAGCGAAGCGTTTGATTTGGTTAACCATAGACTACTTATCATTAAACTCCAAGCCTTTGGCTTACCTTTCTTTTTAGTGGAATGGTTAAGCTCTTATCTGCATGGTAGATCATTCAAGGTTTTGTTTACCCTCATTACCTCGGATGAATTTCCCGTGGCGTCTGGCGTACCTCAAGGTAGCCACTTAGGACCCATTTTATTTAATTTATACGTCAATGATTTGACCTCCGGGATTAAATTCAGCGAGATCTTAATGTATGGTAATGATGTGAAACTGTTTTCTTCCCTTTCCGTAGAATCGCAAACACATCATCTTCAAAGTGATTTGAATAATTTGGATGCATGGTGGTCTTTGAATCTTCTGAAACTAAATCTAAATAAATGTAAGAAGCTTTTTTTCTCAAGAAGAAAGTCGTTCATTACTCAGTATTTCATTGATTCGCACAAGTTGAAGGACGTCGATTCGTTCACAGATTTAGGCGTTCTATTTGACCATAGATTATGTTTTAACTTGCACATTGAGCTTTCGTTAAGCAATGCTACGTCCGCGCTTGGTTTTATAAAGAGATGGTCCAAAGAGCTTGATGATCCTTACATTACTAAAAGGCTGTGCATGTGTTTGGTTAGACCCATACTCAAGTATGCCTCTGTTTGGTGTCTCCTCTGTTGTGTGGTGCTACGTAGATTCAATTGAATCTGTTGAAAAGCAATTCTTGCAGTTTTCTCTTAGGAATTTGGGTTGGGACCCGATTGCCCCTCTTCCACCCTATGAAAGTAGGTTTCTTCTGTTTTCGTTAACGTCACAGGAAAAACGTAGATTTGTGCTTGGTGTTTCCTTCGTAATCAAATTAATAACTGGTACAATTGACTCGCCCGCATTACTTCGTGAGATAGGCTTTAAGGTTCCTAACCGCGTCTCTAGGCACTTTATCTTGATAAAGCTTAGTCAATGTAAATATAATTACGAACTGTTCAGTCCTCTCATAGTTGTTTGCCAGAACCTAAATGACGTCTATCACTTATTCTCATTAACGGATTCTTTAAAGTACATTAAAGCAACATTGCTTAATACGCGCGATTTACCTATGTCGTACTTGAACAAACTTTCAACCTTAAAAAGTCATTATGAATTGAAAGTTAATTGTTGTTAACTATTATCGGTTGCCAAGCTTATGCATATTTGCGATGGCTTAGGGGTCACTTCCAGTGTGGTCCTGTACCGGTTGTGGGTGTGGCTCTATGCTAGTTGTGTACATGCTCTTTTTTCTTTTCTTTGCGTTCTTATTTGTTTTATTGTACTTATACTATGTTTTAATATTAATTAATTTAAGATTTACTTTGAGAATCAATTGAATTCGACTGCCAGTTTGTTTTAGTTGATTTTCTTATACAAGTGGAATAAATAAATAAATAAATAAATATGCTTACCTTGCTGTTAATAAATATTTCCATTAATTATGTGATCGTTAGATTCAAGTGATTTTCGGATCTGGCTTCCTCGCTGGTTTCGCGTAGTTTTATTTTGCAATCATACAAATTTACCTTTTCATAGGCAGAGACGACATATTTGTTGCAAATCTTCGAAATTTAAATGCACGCTGTTAATAACATTTTGTATGTAAAATAAGGTAAACCAATACAAAATGTGGCTTATTCACTCATTCGAAAAAAAAATGTGCAAAAAACCTAAAGGAAAAATTTTCCTTTTTTCGTGACGAGTTTAAACTTTTTTGCTCAATAAATTTTGTTTATGTTAATTATTTCATTTTAATTTTTTTTTTTTTTTGACTCAGCTGTTTGCAAGTAAACAATTTTGCTTGGAATTTTGTTTTCAATTTAGACTTGTTTTCTCTTATAAATGCAAGCCTACACAATCAATATCAACTTAGCACAACCAATACTAATACCAAACGTAAGCTCTTTTGCTTTCGCGTAATTTGGTAAAGGAGAGCGTATTTAACAACCGTTGTGCCTACGTGATTCCAAAAAACCTATGGGCATCAAGCAAAGCTTAATGCTACCGAACCAACCGAAAACATAAGTTGACTTTCAGATACGAGATGTCGCCCGGGGTTCGATATATGATACAAAGTCACAACAACTATGAGAGACTAATCCAAACAAAAAGTTTATGATAGTTGAACGGCAACAACGCCAGGATATGGCTGCGAGTGTTCATTTTTGCATAAACTGCCGAAACTCCCAGTACTATTCTTTCAATGAACTCCAATTACTATATTTATTTTTCCGTTTCTTTATTTGTCTTTTTTCCACTCTTTCTTTTTGGATAACAACGCAAGAAGATAGTTGGAGACTGGTTAAATTTATCTAAAAAAAAAAACGTTTCTGATGTATGTGCTCATTATGTTGGAAAAACTTGAATTTTGATATTTGGAAATTACTTAATTACTATCAAAACGTAATAAACCCGTATTGTATTTAATCCCTATACGACTAATATTTTGAAGATTATTTGCATTTAATATTAATATTTAATTAAATCTACAGAATCTCTTCATAAATATAGTTAGTGATATTTAAAAATTTCTTGTTATTCAAAAGATTGTACTGACTCACGAGAAAATTAAAAGTTATCAATCTAATGCGTAAAAATGAATTAATTAATGGAAGGGTGTTAGATATTTCACCATCGTTCTTCTTTTCGTTATTTAATTATTTATTATTTTGTGAATATGAAGTAAATTCTCAATATCTTCTACTTGCTAAGAAACGAGTGTTTGTGTTCCATGTTATAATGTGCTTGATGTAATAAAATCAAACTTTTGATTTATTCAATGCTAATAAGTGATTTGCTAATGTAGACAAAAGTAGCATTGCCAGCTTCTCCAGTTTATAATATGGTCACCCCGTGTGTTAAAGCAGCAAAAGGTATTAAAATTTATATGGTATACACAGATGTATGGATAGATACATGTTCCTGTTTTACAAATGCAAAAATTGCGTTGAAGTCATAAAAATGACAAAATTTTGAGAGAAGGGTAATCAAGCCAATATAAATATTAAGAGACAACCAATACAGTACATTTTGAAATGACGGAAGTGGTAGTGTGATGAACAGAAATTAAGAATTGATGCTGTTAGTTATTTATCATCGAATCTTAAGATACTCATATAACTAACTTGCACTAAAACTGTGCAAAATCAAGGGGAAAAGTAGAAACAGTCAGCAGTATGTTAATATCAGCAAATACAACATTAAAGCCTGCGGCCACAACAGCAACGGCGATGCCACCATCCGCAGTAACTTCACCGTCTTCTCCTTTAATTACAATGATGACTACAACCATTAATACATCCACCACAGCCACGTCAGTGTTGCCGGTAATGTCTTCTTCCATATCCACCCCGCCAGTATCCGCCGAGTCTCCAACAGTTCAAAGCCTAAATATTACTACTAATACCAAATGTGATGCCCCATTTGGAAATGAGACATCGCCATGTAATAGTGGTAAGTGGTAAGGTAGTGTAAAAGTAGAAAATAGCCTTTTGCTGCAAGTTTATAGCATATACGAGCAATTAGTTTTTGCTTGAAATCGGTTCTGGAATCATATTAATGATATGGAACAGGCGCGTACGAAGAATACGCCACTCAGTGCAACAAGATTCATAAACGAATCTCTGGACCAATTTAATCAAAACTAAGCCTGTCTGTATGCCTAGGCTTATTCTATATACCCATCACATATATCCACACATCATTTGTATGCTAAGCATTATCTACCCAAAAACAAATTATTGCATAAACGTTGTAAAGAGAAAATTACTGACGAAGTTCATCTTCAGTCGCAAATATGAAGATGCCAGAAATGCGCAGTCCACAAAGAAGACGAGGTTATATAAACAAGTGTGATTTGTCTAAGTACGCGCTCACTATAGACAAAGAGTTAATCCAATCTCAAAAGAAAAGTGAACATTTTTTGTAATTTTTGCCTACAACTTATGATATGGAAATACCTCCGAAAAACTCTTACCCAAATATTGATGATTGATCTTGCTACACTCGAAGCTAGCGGTTAAAACTGCTTACAGATATAATCTTCTTCCGCATTTGGAGCGATGTTTGATACTGTCAGTGTTGAGTTTCTCGACATTATTTGTGTGTAAATAAAATTAATGCAAAGAAAATGGTTTTCATTTTCCCATTATAATTGTGGCACTGATTATGTATCATTTGAACGGCATACCTTGAAAGCTAGTTAGTTGTGAGTTACGTATGGCTTTCGTCAGTGAAATAAAGTAAAATAATTTCAAAGTTTTGTTTCTTAGGATCACTGAATTGTGAATTTTAACCTTGAATTTTAGTGAATATCTTTTCATTTTACATAATATATTTATACGGTAGACCAATAAAGTCTACATGAGGTACCAAAAATTGGGGTTTTTTGTTAAAAATTGATTTTATGAGTTGAGGATCAAAAAATATATTTCATAAAAACAAAATCTTATATTAAATAATAATTCAAATGATTTTTTGGCGTAAAATAAAGTTATAAAAAAAATATACTTTAATCCTATAAAAACTACAAAAAAGTGTACATACAATACTACCGAAAGGTAGTATTTAAGGGAAAAGAACATCTTTAGTTAGTGGTACTTGTTAGTTGCACTTGGTGTTATACTTGTTTTCCTACATTTAAATGATAATTCAAGCAAGTTTCATTTTTTTCTTTAAAATTCGCAAAATATACAAAAACACAAGGCGATTTCTTAAGGAGTTAGAAACGCGATTATGAAATTTAAAAGTGGGGAAAAATTGTACGGAGAATAGCGAAAGCAATTGGAATTAGTTGTGTTATTAACCGAACTATTATAAAAAACTACAATAACACAAATATCCCGGAAAATGAACACCAATCAACCAAACAAACTTACGGAACGCGAAAAATGAGATATTATAAAAACTGTAATAAATAAGCCCAAAAATAGTCCTGCTGACATCGCAAAAGAGCTAAAAAAATACAAGTCAATTAGTATTCATCCCGAAACCGTTCGACATATATATTAAGAGATAACAATTTCCAATTTTTGAGGGCTAACGAGTTATTTGCACCAATTTTTCCTAAAACGTATTAAACAGCCTCCTTTGACACGCGAAAGTTTTTGCAAAAATCTACGTGTTAATTTTAATTTACATTGTCGGTAAATATATAAAACTATTCACTTGCACAGTTTCTGGTAACGTAAGATTTGAAGCGTCTGGCAGACTCCTTCTACAACTCACAAGACCCCTTTGCGGCCAATCTCGAAGTTCCTCTACTGCCAAATTACTAAACATGAACAAAATAATCACTACGTCTGATGTATATATTTTCCTCGACATTGCTATGTTATTTAATTTAATATATATACATATCTTTTTTTTTGTCTAGTAGAATAGATTAAGGTTATTGGCGATAGGACCAGTATATCCAATAGACTGATTAGTTTTTATTATCCCTTGCGTTCTCTCTATCAATGATGATGATTTTCAGTACGGAATCGATTACAAACTTTGGCGAATTAATTAGTGTATTAATTAGACAATTGAAGCAAAAAAAAAAAAAAATTAACTTATTGACCTTTCACAAATTAAAATTTGTTTTGGTTCACATGTCGGTAGGTAAACAATTTTTTTTTTTAAATTATTTTTATTTTCAATTTGCAGTTGTTTTCTTTTGTAAATGCAACTCTAAAAAAATAATATTAACTCAAAACAGGTGATACTAATGGAAAGTATGAGCTATGAACAGTTCATACGTTAATTAACAGTTCACCAGTGAACTCAGTTCTTCTATTGGATTTCACAAATTCAAAATGACCGAATTTTAAAATAAATTGTTTAATAATTGGTTCCGCTGTTGTTTTAGCATCTTGCTATGGATTACAAATTTCGTTAATTTGTATTACATTCTTAAAATGTACCGAAATCCATTCGATGCTTTTAAGGGACCAACTTGATATAATTCCGGTTGATATAATTTCAAAACTGCTTGGGGTATCTGGAATTTGTTGTTTCTCTTTGTTGAGTTGTTTGTTTGGAATACACATTGTACAATTGTTTACGAAAGCTCGTATTTTAGTTGTTCGTTTTCCGATACCTAGCTGTCTATGCGGTCTGTTGTAGACTTCTTCTATTAACTGATATTGTTTATAAATAGAAATAAAATATAGACCTTTGTTGAGCGCTACTATATTTCTTTTCTTTCCTTAATTTTGATGTCAGCATCTCTATGATCGAATCTAGAACGTTTATTGTTTTAGGTATTAGCACTTTAAAGAGGCGGAATTTATTGTAATATTATCTGATGGACATTGTTCAGTTATTTTAAGGTATGCCTTTTATTTATCAGAAAACTTCTGTAAAGGTAGTTGGCATTTGTGTCGATGTTATTGACATCTTCATGTTTTGTGAGATTTTAATGTGGTAGGTGAACTCGTGAAACAAGGCAACTTTTTGATAGCCAATACTATGTTGAAAGCCTTGAGTGAAAAATTGTTTTTGATATTGAGAAGTTTGATGGGATTAGAAAATTGTTAGGATCAGAAGTAGATATTGTGTATAGAATTCTAATTCATGAAGGATGATAATAAAGTAGTTTCTGACGGAGCAGGAAGGAATCCCAAGGAAAGATTTGACGTGTGTTGATTAATATTGTAGATTTATGAATTTCAAGCTTCCTCTGCTCGGCTAGCATCGCCAAGTCAAACTACTTCATATGCACCAAAATACATACATTCACCACGAAGTACTTCTATTAAATAAAAAACAGATTTCTTGAAGTTCACAGGACTGCCAAGATTAACTCACCATGAAGTTGTCATAGGAAGTCTTACTTTATTAGTTTGTAAAACTGGATATATATCATTTGTAATTCTAAAACATTTTTTACAATTATATTAATGCTTACATTGGCGTATTCATAAGTTTATGTAAACAACTAGTGTAGGCGCCTGGTGTAAGTCAATACTTTTAAACATATTCAAACCCAGCATGACACTTGCTTTTTCTTGATCTTTATTTATGAATAAATTTTTTAAAAATACAAAGTAAATGGATGGTTTATTATATTTACGAAATTATAGATAGATTTAAGTTTGTATATTTATAGGGTATTGTTAACATAGTATCATAGTTTTGAAATATTAAAAGTTTATATATTTTATTCTAGTTGTAATATTTTTTAGCTAGCCTTTTATGGATAGGATCAAAATTATCTTTAATTTTTCTACTTATCTTGGATTCTATCATATTTATTACTTCATATGGTCCTTGAAATGGCTTACCTAATCGTTTTCTATTGTGTTTCTTCATGAAAGTTATATGTCCTATTTTAATGTCAATCTAATTGAGGTAGTATGGGGTAGGCCAATAAAGTTTACATAACGTACGAAAAAGAAGATTTGCCTTATTAACAACTGCATTTATGGATTGATGTTCAAAAAATATATTTCGTAAGAAACAGAAACTCATATTATATAACAATTCACCATTGGTTTTAACTTAAGATAAAGCTATAAACAAAAGATATACTTCAATCCTAAAAAATAACACAAAAATAATTCATAAAAATTCATAAAAATTATTCGCAACAAAATACCATACCATATTATTATTAATTTAGCCAGGCAATTAACTCTAAGACTAAAGTCTTAAAACACTAGCATCTAAGACTATCGGTTTTATTAAAAACTCTACGGCATTTTAGATTTGAACCCACGGCCATTGAATTGCTAGTCGAGGCTTCTTGCCTGCTCGACCACTCAGGCGGATAATACCAGAAATAAACGGCCAGACAGAATAGAAAATCATAATTGAAGATTCTATTGCTTATGATTACGCAAATGTGCCCACAAGCTCGCATAATCACATGCGCTACGCGCTAAACATATCTGTTCAATATATTACGCTGTTGGGTACATATGCGCACAATGTTACAAGTACACGTTTAACAACATTTTTGCTCTCTTCTTTGCTTTTATTTCGTGCCCTGAAGCGCGATATGGTAATTGCGTTTTGCGATGTTGCTAGCGAAATGTTTGATCTTATGCATATTATGTTTTTGTTATTTAGGCACACAGATATACATATTGAAAAGATATATGAACAAAAATATATATATAAAATAAGACACTTTGCTAGCAACATCTCCGCAGGAAAAGTATCGTGTCGCAATGCAAAACCAGAAATAGAGACAAATGTTATGAAAGGAAATAAAAGAGAGTAAAAGAACTGAAAAGAACACATTTGGTGAAGTTTTTACAACTATGCGAAGGACTACGCACCATGAACATCTGTGTGTGATAATATGCGTGTTGAATAGGGAGTTGAATAGAGCTGTGTATTCGCACTGTACTACAATTACTCGTATGCGATTATGCGTGCTTTTGCCTAAGTAAATTCATATGTGTGCATAACCAATAGAATTTTCATTTTTATTTGTGTGCTTGGGCGTTTACTTTTGGTATTTT